GCTATATCCACCCTGAAGGTTAATCTTGGACAATATCTGATGATCGACTCTTTTAAATGAAACCAGAGAGCGTTGACAGAGAGGAGAAGCACCTGCTTCGGATGTTATCATCCATGAAGTGGATGTTATTAGGCGTCTGAAGCCTAGAAGGCACAGTGGGGACCCTCTGAAGCCATTGTATGGGACTGAAAACGCCTAATAACGTCCATTTCATGGACTGATAACATCAGAATCCCCTGGGAGAAGGTAGAAATGACTCGGCCTGGAACTGAAAATATGGATGGAGGACAACAGAGCTGCTTCATGGAAGAAGAACCGCAGCTTAGCCTGTTAGCTTTTGCGCTAGCACCGATGCTATATTGCCTTAGCTCAGCGCTAGCGCGACAAACAAGCTAAACTGAGGTCCTCTGAGTCATTTTTGTGTTACCCTCTCTGTCATGTGGACGGAGGACCTCAGTGACGAGAGGAGAATGTGTAGCGCTGAGCTAATACATATATGGTGATAGCGTCCCAAACAGGACAAAGTCTTACATCAAAGAAACAGCTCAGGAGCTGAAACCCAACAGAGCTGTGCTGTTCACCTCCAAAACTCCACTCACCTCAGTTAATTGCCCCTCTGTGGGACAAAAGCTCAACCTTGAAGCCCACGAGCCACAAGACCCAGAGGATTCACCACCAGAGACCTGGTGCCAGACAGGGCCTGACACCTCAACCAGACACTGCTAATTTGGAAAAAGCATGGAGAATACAGAGAGCTGATTGACAGCTCTTTTTTTAAATAGAAGCTAAAACTGAGTCCTTAAAGTAAAAATGAGCAAACAAATGGTCAAATTAGCAGAACTGTAGCTACAGCTACAGGTTAATGTTTATCTCCAGTATTTGAATCATCACCCACTGGTTACTCTGGAAGTCTCACTCCAGCCAACAACAACAAGAAGAAAACCTGCAGCTTTTCTCAGATAACAGCCGAAGCCTGGGAGGACGAACCGACAAAGCTGCAAGGCCTTTCTCACACCATGAGACCAACCTGGACCAGCGTGGTGCTGGTCCAGGTTCACCGGGTTCCCACTGGTTTCCATTCACATTTAYAAACATCCGTTTTAGAAAAGTGATCGTTGCTGGAAAAGATGGAAACATTAACTGTTCGAATCCTGCTTTAAATTAAGACAATTTGTCTT